CCGCGGCGGAGACCCGGTCCTCGGCTGGCGGTGAGGGAACGGCCCGCGGGGGGCTGTCCGGTGAGCGGGGAGTGGGGTCCGAACCTCCGTGAGGGAGGGGGAGGCCAGTAGGTCGGCGGTGCCCTCCAGGGTTTTCTTCCTGGGCTCTGTGTCGCGGATCTGGGACCCGAGGAAGGAGCGGAGCAGTGGACTCGTTTTTGTTGGTCCTGTTAACCCAGTGAAGGTTTCTTGAATTTCATACAACTCCTATACATTGTTATGTTTTTATGTCTTTTACGCACTTCTCGGAGACTGTATATCTTCAATTCATTAGGCAGCCTGGTGTTAGAGTACAAAGGAACCACATATTTCTAAATCACTTCTGTACTTGGTCTGCAGGACTTTCTCACCCACCCAACCCCGGTCCTGGGGGATTGAACCCTGGCACTGAGCTGCATCCTCAGTCTGTTTGTGTTGTTTTTTCCTTAGGGCCTCAGTAAGTTGCTAAGCTACCCGGGCTGAGCTCGAATTTGGGGTCCTCTCTTGGCTCCCGATTGCTGGGATAGCAAGCTTGCTCCACCACGCCCGGCTTGGTCATCTAAATCTTGTGTGTTCTTCGGCAAGATATTTTTCTTAGTTCCTTATCGAAAATTGGACATAAAAATTAGTTATCTAGTTACATCATTGCAAATATGCCTTAGGAGTTTGTGTGTAAAATAGGTAATATATGTAAAATGGCACTGGCTCCTGGGCACAAGGAAAGTGTAGAGTATTATGTTATCGTTTACAACGCTGTTAATGTTGATAAGGTTTGATCATAAGAGTAGCTATTTGTTAGCTCTAAAAGATTCACTGGCATTTTGCTTATTAAATTTTTTACTTATGATTATTCATAATACGATTCATAATTGACATACAAATGATACCATCCTCCCTTTTACTGCCTCCATAGAAATCCATTTCATCTCTCTGAAGGTAACTGGTATTATCAGTTTTTTGTATATTCTTCAAAATATTTACACCACATTTTTACAAATGAATTAAATATATACCCTCCTCTGATTTGGTTTTTGACACAACAGTTTTACCATGTAGTCCATGCTGGGCTTGAACTCATTATGTAGCCCAGCTTGGCTTTGATCTCCCAATCCTCCTGCCTCCCTTAACCCTCCTTTTCATATAAAGTGATGGCATACTATACACATTACTCTCTTGGTATTTTCACTTAATATGTGTTGGAAATTCTTATTAAAACAGTACACAGAGCTGGGTGTGGTGGTGCACGCCTGTAATCCCAGCACTCAGAAAGCTGAGGCAAGAGGATCGCTGTGAGTTCGAGACCAGCCTGAGCGACACAGTCAATTCCAGGCCAGTCTCAACCACATAATGAGACCCTGTCTCAAAAAAAAAAAAAATAGTACACAAAGCTAGGATTTCATGTTATTTTTCAATAACTTGATAGTATTTCATTGTATAGATAGATATACTAATTCTTTACTGAGAGATAATTAGAAGTGTCTGTGTGTGTTTTCCTGGTTACTGGGAATGAAGTCCAAGCCCTCTCTCATGCTAGGCGACAGAATATCTCCACCCTTTTTACTTTGAAACAAAGTCACACTAAATTACTCACACTACTCTTGAACTTGTGATCCTCCTGCCTCAGCCGCCTCCCTTTTATCTTTATGTATTAGAAACACTGTTGCACTTGAATAGTTTGGAAAGTTTTTATTACATAAACAATGCTACCAATATTGCTGATTATTGCTAATAACATTAGAAATAAAAATCAAGAAAGATCTGGGCACAGTGGCGCACACCTTTAATCCCAGAACTGGGAAGGCTGAGACAGAATGATTGCTGTGAGTTCAAGCCCAGCCTGGGCTACATAGTTCCAGGGCAGTCTCAACTACATAGTGAGACCCTGTCTCAAGGAAAAAAAAAATCAAGAAAGAATCACCAGGGGCTGGACCTTAACTCAGTGGTGTAGAGCACAAGCTCAGCATGCACAAGGACCTCATTCAGTCCCTGACACCAAAAAAACAAAAATTACCTACAATATCATCCAAAAGTACCAAACTGTTTCCACGCATCTGTTTTCTTTCAGTCTTTCTACATCTCCACTTCAGAACCATAAGCTAAATATACAGCTGAAGTGAGGTCAGTGTACAGTCATTGGGCTCTGTGACCCTGGGGTGCAGACCCTCTTGAGGTGTATGTGTGCACTTCCCACAGCTTTGTGAAGTCTTTAGAAACCTGTCAGATAAGCCTGGAGCCAGTGCTGGGTCAGTTTATTGAGGAATATCTAGACTATCCTCCAGCCCAGGAAGCAACAAGAGACAGCGTACGGTGCATCTTCATCAAAATTGCAAACTAGGGGCTGGGGATTTAGCTCAGTGGTTTTGCGGCCTGCTTTACAAGCACAAGGACCCAAATCCTCAGTACCAAAAAAAAATATATATATAT